ACGTTTTGGAATGAGCACCTAGCTTCACCTAGCTTCACTGACGGACTGACTGACAGACTACTATTTATTTTGTATTTGTTGACGTTTCAAAAGTACCAAACTATGGTTTAATTGAAATAAATGCTTTGACTTTGACTTTGATTAAATCTGTAGCTGTGGTATATCGTATAGAATCGAGGCATAAGTACATCACTAGATGGCGGCACATGTCCATGAATGGCTGAGTTTTAATGAAGGAGCGCTAATTACACCGCCAGCCGCCCGCCTCGGCGACTAAAGTTAGACCCTCGCATGTGATTACTGTCAGTGACACACACACACACACACACACACGCGCGTATACTGGCTGATTGCTCGGTTGTTGTGAATGTATCAACAGGTAAGCAAGATGAACCTCCAAGATGTTACAGGTGCCATCTTACGCAGTGCACTGCATCAATATTAATCCCACGTTGCTATGTTGGTATAGTACGACTCTGTACACATCAGAGCAGCTGATCAGTGCGCGAGGTGTGTTGCAATATGTGTGGGCTACATATATGTATACACACACACACACTCGGACGTCTCGCTGTGACCTCTCAAGATTACATCAAACTACTTTAGATAGATGCGCATGTCGGTCGTCCGTCCGTTCCCCTCCCGGAGTGTACGACAATGCGGGGACGGGGGGGGGGGGGTGCTGTCGGATGTGTTCGTGGCGAGAATTTTAATATCGCAGCGTTTGTAGAGAGACGCACAGATTTAACATTACATCGAGATCAGTGCCGAGACGTGACGTCACCAGATTACTAACACGGATGTGAAGGAGGAACCACACTCGACCATGTCGACTCTTAATTTCTTTGACTTGTCTGTCACCCTCCACTTGTTGTAATGTATCTCTTAACTTAGGCTGCGATATGCAATATTTTATTAATGGCTAAAGCAATAGACAGTTGCCGCGGACTACCAGCAAGCTGGCGTGCGACGCGCCGCTACACCGGCAGGCGGCGCGGGCGACACATGCGTTACATTGATGGATGTGCAGGCGAACGATCAATACTATACATGAGGCGCGGCGTCGCTCGCTCCTGCACCGTACACAACAGTAGCATATTGTGTTTTTGTTTGATTTAACTCTTGCTTGCAGGGATATAACTGCTTTGATATATTTATGTACATTCCAAAATGTAGCGTTCAAGGGTAGGTAAAATGCTGTATAAATAGTAAATAATAGAAATAGTGAGTAGTGATAAGTTTGTAAACAAAACTCTCGTGTTGGCCGCGACGAGTGAATGAACAAAAAAACAGTCGCACAATTTGTGTAACAAGTCATTCCACAAAGCCTCCTTCAACGACACGCGACTCGAGAGCGCGGCCTTTTCAAGCTCGCAGGCAGCGGGGCTAATTGTGTGCCGGCAGACAGGGGGCGCCACTGTCGTCGAGGTACATTGTGACGTCACACGGTGTGTGTCGTCTGACTGCAACAATGTCGCGTCACAACATCACACCTACCAACCAAATATTTCTTACTGTAATAATATATTTGTACGTTACTGCCGAAAAATAAGTAACGTTTCGATTCTCGTCCACATTATAGTTATTAACTATCAATACAATAATAAGGCGGTGAATAAACATTAATAGATCATAGAAGCGACTACCGCGTAGTAGTTGCTACGACGTAGCCGATGTCCGTGCTACGGCGTAGACAACTACAACTACATAGATACATAGTTACGTTTTATAGTCCGTTACCAATCACAGAGCTGCACTTACATCTTGCGTGAGTGGCAACAGAGCTGTCAGCGCTGAATGTCCCCTGCGCGCCGAGTGATCCCTCGTGGTGTGTCATCAACAAAACGAACATTTCATAGTTTAGACGTAATCGTCGAGGAGACTCTCGGGCCTACTGGAGAGTGGTACCTATGTATGTAGAGGTGGCACGTCGTCGCAATTAATGTCCGCGCGGCGGAGACAAGTGTCCGCCGAGTGCGCGCTCGTTAGCCGCCGGCACGCACACACACGCAACACTAATGTTCTACACGTGTGTTGCTCTATTTCTGAATGTTCTCCGAAACGTACAACACACGTATGTTTCTGCTTAAGTGTTGTAAACGCATCTTTGTAGTTTCGATCTATAAGTGTACGCACTGTATGCATGGTACCTGATACCCAGGTGGGTACGATACAATCGACAAGCCGACCGCGTGTTGACTGTTGTGGCCTTGTGCTGAATAATTACTCGTTTTTGTACTTCACCCCCCTCCCCCTCCCCCCATCTCCCGCTATCTCTCCTGTTAGTATTAATTGTTCAGCATCCGTAACTGGGACGGCCATGCATCACGTTTATCTGCTGGCTTTTTGTATTAAACCATCCGAATCGTTAGCGCGTTTGTTGTAACGAACAAAATACAACAATGAAGGGGACAAGCGCGCAGTGCGCGGCGTGCGCGGCGTGACTGTAGGAGAGTAAAGTTGAAGAGAAGAAAGTTGAGAGGTTCGATGTGTTTGTTGTGTAATGCAGATCACCGCGCTCCCTGTCTGCTATTTGCCCAACATGTTGTGTAAGGCGGAGCCCAGTACAGTACCCGCGTCGCTCGAGGTACGAGTTGTATGCTCTGCTCCACAGGCTTACCTTTGTCACGCGCAAGCTCATGGTCGAGCTCGGAGCGAGCGTCGGCCCCGTCGGTCGAGGCGGTCGACGTCGTGCGAGACGCGCCGCTCTACCCCGTGCTGCGGGACGACGCGTTCGACACGACCGACACGACCAGCCCCACCGACACCAGCACTCCTTGCATCGATACAGAACATACGGGCGACGCCAGGAGCAAACGTGCTAGTGCACAGGACTGGGAGAGAGCGCCCAAAGTGAGTGCAGTAGTTATAGCGTAGACTTATGAATTTGGTCGTTTGACGTTGGTCAACGTTTTGCGGCACAGATTGGAGGCAGTTCCTATGTTTATCATTTAGTGCTCAACTTGGCTTGTTTGTGTATTTGGTAGCATCTTTGCCAAAAAATCGGCACAGTATGAAGAGCCGAGTTTTTATGCATATTGCCTTGGTACAGACTCACGTGCCGGAGCGACGCGTGAAGACAGGCGACACGATCCTGAACATCCGCGGCGCGGTGCGGGACGCTATCGGTGACGCGGGCGCAGCGCCAGGCCCGCGCGCCTCCTCGCGCCTTGACACATTCGTCATCCGTCCCGCGCAGGCGCAGCAGCAGCGCAAGCCGCAGCACGACCAGCCCGCGCCACACATACCACATCAGGTAGAACCGCAGACTACTATCTTCTATTTTTAGTCTTTCTAGTCAAACGTCATCATATTACAAAGCTGGTGATATGATAATCTGAGGTATTGTGCAGGTGCCGAAGTACGAGCGCGAGCTGCTGGTGGAGGCGCATGCGCGCGCGCGCATCGAGTGTGACGTCAGTAACGGTAGTGACGTGCGCTGGTACAAGGACGGGGAGCCTGTGGCGGCGCGGGGCGGGGGCGCGCCCGCAGGGGGCGAGGGCGTGTGGCGGGACGGGGGCGCGCTCATAGTGGGGCGCGCCACGCGCGGGGACGCCGCCGCCTGGCGGTGTCTGTATAGCGACCACACGGGGAAGACCGTCTCCGGCAAACCCACCAAGCTGCTCATATATGGTGAGTGATGCACACAGCTACACGAGGCGAGCTCTAGCGGCGTCGGCAAGTGCTGTAACAGTGTGGGGTGTACAGAGCCGGTGCGCGCGGTGTACCTGGCGGTGGACGGGCGGCGCCTGGACGCGGGCAACACCTGGGTGCCCGTCAGAGATAAGACTGAGCTGGAGGTGCGCTGCGTTGCTGAAGGTACCCAGCTCTTCCTTCATAGCTAGTAGTATACTATGTACCGTGCAGTAGTATTGACGTGGGTGCTGTCCAGGCGGCGTGCCCCCGCCCGAGCTGTCGTGGCGGCTGCTGGCGCTGGAGCCGGCGCTGGACCACCGCCCCTACCTGCGCATACACCACACCAACTACTCCATCGGTGAGCGCACTACAAATACTACCAGCTCTACTATAGATTGTTATATTTGTAAACATTGGGAATATTTACAGCAAAGTGTGAGATGTTACAGTAAGGTGGCATCCTCTATGTTTTGCCCCGAGGCGTACAAATGTAAATGATTGTATCATAAAGTCTAATATCGGCACACGCGTGTTTAATTATAATCATGGATGTCAAAACTAATAATGTATATATAAGACAAAATCTTATGATTTAGAATTAAATTAGAATTAAATAAAACTATTGTGTTGCTTCTTAAGATGAAGAAACGACATTTAATGTTTATTCTTCCACAAATAGTTGAAGATCAAATAGCGAAATTAAAGAAAACCTCTTTTCTTTACATATATAAAATAAAAAAATGAAGATCAAGAGAAGTCAGGCAGAAAGTACTTATAAAGAAATGTATAATTAGCAGAGGCACGTCACTTCTACTTCAGGCTCGTGTTTATCTCGTAGCTTTATATAACGTAGTGTGTTGCAGTGACGTCACAGTGTGTATGTGTGTGTACAGAGGGCGTGTCGGTGTCGCACGCGGTGGTGACGGCGGCGCGCGAGCTGCACAACGCCACGCTGCAGTGTGACGCGCGCCAGCGCACCCCGCCCACCAGCCCCGGCAGCCCCGGCAGCCCCGGCAGCCCCGGCAGCCCCGGCAGCCCCGCATCCCCCACCAGTACCAGTGCTGCTCCCGCGCACCTACTCAGCGCCAAATTAGAGATACACGTAACATGTGAGTTTTATGTGTGACAAGGTGATTATTGTGTAGGTAGACAAAACAGACGCTAACGTTCGTCCTTCACACAATGCAACTTTTTGAAAATAATATTTTTTGGGCTGATTCATTAAATATGTTTCATGCGTTCGGACTTTTCTTACTTCTTTAGCGAAACTTATGAACAGTGGTAACATTTCAGACACGAGACTCAGGTTACGATAAATTAATAAATGTACGTTCTGGCATATCAACCGAAGTACGCCTCCCTGTCTCCGGTCGCTCGTGAGCTGGGATCGGTCCCGCGGGAGCGCGCAGTAACAGCTCCTAATACATTTATTGCTATGCGATGTTTGACTACCTGGAGTAGTGTGTTTGGCGACAGTTTAGCGCTGAACATGAGTGGGTGCGTGAGTAGTCTGACATAGAGCGTGTGGGTGTGTGTCACAGACCCACCGTCGTTCGTGATCTCGCGGTGGCCCGGGTTCGGTGTGTCGCTGTCTGCGGGCGGCGCCGCGGCGCTGCGCTGTGACGTCGACGCCAACCCTCCCGCGCGCGCCTGGTGGCTCAGAGACGACGCTAACCCCACCAGGTATACCCACACACATACCGTAATACGCTACTTTTCCTCTGTTTTTCAGAGCACAGCATACATTGTCGATTTAAATGTTTCGAATACTTAGTGAATATATATATAGTAAGTTAGTTGAGGCCGCTGTACACCCGCGTGGTATGCGTAGTTCCCCGCCGCCGCTGGAGGCGGGCGACGAGGGCGCGCGGGGCTCGGCCACGCTGCGGTGGGCCGCGCTGCGGGGCTCGCACGCCGGCTGGTACCGCTGCCGCGCCACCTGGCTCGACACGGAGTACTCCTCCATCGGGTACTACCTCAACGTCATGTGTGAGTACTACCCCTGCACCACTACCGCGCTACTGTATATATAGTCCTGTCTGCTACATGACGTGTGTGACTGGCCAGCAGCGGCCGAGGAGAACACGGAGACTGCCACCGAGCCGGAGGCGGAGCCCGAGGAACCAGATCACCAGAAGGTGGAGGTACCACTCGGCGGGAACGTGCAACTACACTGTCCTAAAGGTGAGTCCACCATGGTAACTTAAACACCTTCAGGACGTAATAAATAAATAAATAAAAAATAAAAATCGTTTATTAAACACAAAAACTTCCAAAAGATGTAACAGTAGTCTAATTATTATACAATTATGGTAAATTATAAATTCTAAAAAAAAAAATATAAAAAACAACTTACATTGAAATAATCAAAGATAAATTTAGGATGAGTACATTTAGGTATTTTTTTTTTTTGAACTGTAGCGTCCCGCCTGAGGTAGGTTTCAGTAAAAACCTGTGTTTCAGGCCATCACTCCACTAAGATGAGATTAGGATGTCATTGTGAGAACGTACAATCTACACAATTTATAAACGAAGTTATTTATATACCAAGCAGAAAAAAAAAATATGTTTTTACGACTAAGTAACAATAAATGTAATTTTGTTATATCTAGGTACATAAATAATATTATATAAAACAACGGAAATATCAAGTTTAATACATATACCTATTAGATCTATTTCATAGTTTCTAGTAGTTTTTCGGTGTCTGTGTAATTGAGTTTATCTAAATATTCTGATACTATTACTTTACACTTATTATAACTTAAGCTATAAATATTTACCGTTCTATTGATTCTGTTATACAAGTAAGGTCCTAGAAATAAATAGAAACGTTTAGCAAAAGCATGTTTAGTCTGGGCGTTATCACGAACCAAATCCTTTCTTCTTCTAACTGCAAGGAGAGGATTATAATTAAGTTCAGTGTGTTGCAGTAATACGATATTTAAAATAAATAGTTGTCGGACTGTTAGTACCTTACATGCCAGATAAACGTAACTGTCTACTGAGTACTCTGCTGTTAGTGTCAGCAGACTATACTTGACGGTGTTTCCTGTTGGTACAGGGAGCGTGGGTTGCTGGTGGCGGCGCGTCGTCGGCAACTCCAGCGAGAACTGGGCCCCGGCCGGCTCGCACCATGCACACGGGGTGCTGGGTGAGTGGAGATACATAGACACCGGATGGCCTGTGGTATAGCGTCACACAATGTGGTAACGATAACTTTCATCACAGGTATCAAAGACGCGTTGTACCAGGAGGGAGGCGAGTACAGGTGTGTGGGGGCGCGCGCGCCTGACCTCATGCGACTGAGGGAGCTCAAGCGAGTCACGCTCAAAGTGACCGGTAAGTCGCGACTCAGTGGTAGCGGAGAGTGTCCAGTGAGGCAGTGAGTGTAGGGACGTTGTCGCAGGCGGGGCCACGGCGACGGCGCTGAGTGCCGAGCCTTTATGTTTAAAGTAAGAAACGAGACTGCGTTTGGAGCTTTGATTGGTTGGATGATCGGAGCTGGCCTGATGACTGTTTGAGGTGCCGTCGTACGCTCGGGTGTGGTGAATTACCCGTGGCATGTATGTTGCAGGAAGCGCGAGTGTACCTGCGGCGGGGGCGCGGGCGGGGGCGCGGGGGGCGCGGCGCCCGCGGCCCTGTCGCCGGACCTGGCGCAGCACTGCTGGCGCGCCGTGCTGCACGTGGTGGAGCCGGACGAGGTGTGGTGCGTGGCGGCGGCGGGGGGGTCGGGCGCGGTGGCGGTGTTCCCCCGCCGCGCGCCGCACCCCTCCCCCGCGCCCGCGCGCCACTCGGTGCGCGCGCTGCACAACATGGCCGCGCGCACGCACGCACGCCACCTGCAACTGCTGGTGCTGCTGGCGGTCGCCTGGATGTTCCACTGATTTCGTCCCGTGAACTGATTAGACACTTGCACCTTGGAATCAACTGCAATGGGAGAGTTGGACAAACAGCCTTCACTACGGAGTCCGAAATGCAGAGCAAGCGACGTCACCGTACAGTGCGCAGGCGCGAGTTTGAGTAATGTAGAGTGTACTGGAAGTGGCTATGTCCAGGTGCGAGTGTATGGGTGTGGTGGACCCAGGTGCAGTGACTAGTGACGTCATCAGTGTGAGTGTCACAAACTGTAGCATTCTCGTGAATGTGTTGTTACTCGTCCAAGACGAGCTGACTTGTCAGTCTATCTCCTATTCTAGTCTTCGTAGCTACCTACTGTATTACATTATTGGTTACTCTAGCGTGTCTGTACTCGTATGTATGTAGTACGCGCGCATTGGCGCCATACCCCGAATGGGAGTGGTGCCAGTACGCGCGTGTTGGCCTAACCTTTGTCTCCTGAGTTGTATCTTCTCTCCACCTTCCTGTATCCTCTTGTTTTCTAACGTAATTTATAAACAGGAATCGAATGTGCCAAATTGTTGATATTTTTAATATTTAACATAGATTTTCTTATATTGATTATTATAAATATATTGTCGATTATTACGTTATGTTCGTATGTTAATGGAATGTGAATTACTAGTGCAATGTGAACACCAAACGATATGAGATTATAACTTGTAATGTAAGTGAGAGTTAGGTCGGTGTGCTGGCTGCCGTGACGCGTACGAGCCGCGCCGCGCCCGCGCCGGCCGGGGCGCGGGGCGGGGGCGCGGGACGGGGGCGCGGGCGCGGCATGTCTAGCAATAACTCACACAAGGCGAGGTGGCGCAGCGCGCGGCGCGACTCCTCGCGTCCCCCAGCACACGCAATAATATATATTTTATATAGATGTCAAATTCTTAAAGTATAAATAAATACTGTGTATCATAGCTTAAACTGAATCATGTAAATTTCGATGTCAATTTTAGTCGTCCGTTTAGGTCGGATGTTTTTGTATGAACAAGATACTGATAATATTTGCTACCACAGTTTTTGCAACAATCTCGTAGTGTAAGGGAGTGTTGGTGAAATGGTTGGCGTTGGTGTTGGTGTTGGTCGGTTAGGTTGGTCGCATTGTGTTTGGTACGGTCGTACGACTGCGTGTATACGTTACTTGTTGTTTAGTTGCGAGTCGTCAGTCGATGTTATAGTTACGTTGCTGCCGCACATGTGATATAGAGGCGCGGCCGCGACCGCACTGCCCGAGGTGTCCGTGTGTCGCAGACATATTACACTAACCAGTATGTCGTTAGTTCGTTAGCTGTAGCGAGATGTATTTTTGTATGTCTGAGCGTTTATCGTCAATTGGACAATGAGTTTTGGAAAGTAAATATAATTGTAATTAATATAGAGGCGCGCTGTGCGCGTAATACAAACATGTTGTTTCGTTCGTACCTGGATGATGATATAATGATCCGTCCATGCGGAGTTCGATGTAGTTAGTTAAGGAGCTACGTAGTACCCTCGCGTCCCGCTCCCGCCGTACTGTCGCGTGTAGCCGCCTGTTCTCTTGTAGGCTGTCGTCTTTCGTCACTCTCTCGGACATCCTGTCTCCATCCCTCGCACTCTCTCTCTCCTTGTCTCCCTCACGACCTCGTGACTCTCTCTCTTTTGTCGCTCGTTATGTTTCTCCGAGCCCTACCTCAGCCACTGTCCTGCCAGGCAGTGGTGTCGGTGGGGCCCCGCTGGTAGTGCGCCCCGCGGCCCCGCACCTGTCGTCCTCCACCGCGCGGCCCGCTGGCTGCCCACACGCGGGCCCCTGCGGGCCCCGCAGTAGTTGGTCCCGGGTCGCGCGGTCGCTCGTCCTCTTCAGTTTCGTGTCTAGCGTCCATTCGATACTACTGTGTCGCATCTCGGTGCCAACATAAGTTAATAGATCATAATATATATTTACATTTTATTATATACATTTTATTATTTACTTTGATATTGAATGTACAGAATCCATATATTCATCGCCATGTGTTTATGGAAATCGTATACCGGATAAAATAAATGATAAAAAAATATTGAACACTTTCATTTTATCGTCCCACTTTGACTTTGCATGTATAGGGCACCGCCAAGCCGGGCTAGCGTACTGTGAAGCCACTCTTACGTTAAAGGAGATACGGTTCACTTAAGCTTGGAAAGGAAGAGTTTTAATAAAATTAATTTGAGTTAGGGTGCGTAAGGAAGCAGTGACGCGTGCTATCGGACTCCGGCTCAAGACATTCTACCGAGTCAGAACTCGGCACTGAGCCTGTGTTGTATTCATACTGTAATACACACACAAACATTTGTGTTCGCTGTACCTGGGGACAGTTCCTGAATGAACACATAATATGCTATAGCAATATGGCTGAAGCAGCTATGGCTGAAGGAAGAGTAAATGTTTGTAACACTAACTAAACGAACTATTTTGTTGAAAAACTTAAAATACAACATTACCAAGTAAATAAAAGGAAGTGTGAGCAATTAATAACAAATGTTATTCAAGACACGAAATGCAGCAGCCAGGCGGTTGGTAAGATTCATTATCCATTGCGGGATATATGCAGCAGTAGTAGCATGGGTGCGGAATAACACTAGCGATGTACGGTGAACTTATATATAGTATATGGGGCCATTTATTGCATTGTCTGTTAAGATAGTATAATATATAGTTAGTGCAAACAAATGACCTGATTCTACAAAGAAAATCAAAGATTATTGTGTAGATGGTCTAATTGCTTTTTTATTTTCCAACTTCCATGTCCTTGTTCTTCTCATCGAGAACTTGGAAGCGGCGGCAGTGAGGCAGAGCCCCGGAGCTGACAAATTGACATCATCTCCAACTGCTCGCTGAGATGTTGACAAACTTTTTTGACAAATGTACAGTTTGTGAACAAAGTAACGACTGACTGCTTACTGTCACTTCTTGAGTTACAATATTTCCTGTAATTTACAGGCAATATAGTCGATGTGTTCTAAATGCAACATACTCCTACAATATTTCATGTTCGTCGACGCGCGGCGCGGGGAGCGCTCGGGACGTGCCTAATGTAAGGATATTGCTCGTCAGCTGGACACACACATACAGAGACACTAGCTGTAAGTGTATCAGTGCTGCTATACATATAATAACTCTGCAGAAGTGTAAATTCTGTAAAGTATATGTAGAGAAAAAAAAATACTAGATAGATCCCAAAACCTACGTGATTAAAAAATTTTTGTCTTCTATCTGTATGTTCACGCATCACGCAAAATCTACCGGTCCGGTAGCAATGAAACTTGCTATGATTGTACTTTAATATCCTGGGCATCATTTTTATCCCGAAAAAGTAAATACTCCAAAAAATAAACTAACTACTAGACACAGTTACTGTACCAAACGCAAATACAAGTAGTGGACTTTACGCTGTAACTGTAGGGCCGATGGTCGACATTAGCTTGAACCGTTATTATAAATGGGACTTTGTGAGTTTGCGTGTTTGTGTATTTTTGTTACTCCGTCACATAAAAATGGCTGAAGCGACCGGGATGACATTTGGAACAGTAGATTATGGTCTGGAGTAGAAGACCGAGTCAGGCGAAGCCGCTGGCAGAAGCTAGTTCAGATTATTTCTGTGATTAGTGGATGAACCTTTAGGGAACAGAAGGGAAAAGTTCCCTAAGATCGGAAAGGAGGCTCCTCCGACCAGGCGAGGTGATTGTGCCTGGTCGGAGCTGTTCGCATGCGATGTAGGATGTTTTATGACGTCATCCATTGATTTGCTTCCATCTATAGTCCATGTGCGCGAGCTATTATGTCGACGTGTGCCAGGTGTCGCCACAAGCCATCTACAGTTATTTGTAAAGAGGTTAAATAAGTTTTTTGTAGAAACCCACCACATTATGCAGTGGTACACATCACACACAGAGTTCTGTACGTCGTCCCCACACAGTTGCAGTTCCTCTATTACTAACCTAGAGGAATATCCTGCACGGTGTAATGTCGCGCGATGTGTAATGCGGGATCAGCAGAGATGTAGCCGCCACGTGACCAGACTGCAGTACTGTGAGCCCACATCTCGCCGCTGAGCCGGGATTTGTTCGCGATGTACAGCTCGCACGATATTGTCGCGGGAAGACGTTCGGAATATGTAAGTACGTGTAATGACAGGCTGACATGTCGTGTTTGAAACATTTAAACTATAAGTTCCAGTGAGGACTAAGGCTATGGCTCAGCGTGTTGTTAGATACAGTACAGTGTATATACGTTATAGCGAACTGTGTCGTACTTGTAAGAAAAAATAATAACTACGTAAAGTATTTTGTTCGGGAGTTGAATCAAAACACAAAAGTCATTATGATTATAATTCACGATGCAATTACGATGTTCCACAGCGCGGGCGCGGGCGCGGGCGCGGGCGCGGGCGCGGGCGCGGGCTGCCACAGTCACCTTACAATTACATTACAAACATGTCTCCTGTACACACTCGCAGCTCGCAGGATTATCACCCCCCCCCC